CACTTTTTCCCCAACCCCCCCACGAGCCACTGGATCGCTTGATCCGAGGAGGTGGACGCCCTCGCCTGCCTGCCTGCCTGGGAAGCCCGCGGGGACGACAGACGCCGCCGCCGCTCCTCAGATTCGCGCTGGACGCGTGTGTCGGAATGTGTCCCTGCTGCCAGGGGGTCCTTCGCGTCGCAGAGATCGGCGCGGGGTTTAAAGCGCGCGTGTGGCTGTGTGAGTGTGCGTCTGGGTGCACCTGTACGGCCCGCCGAAACCGAACTCGTGTTGCACAAGGAAATGGGTGGATGGGTTTCGAAAGGAACAAAAAGACCCCGATTCGGGAGCCGGGAGTTGGGAGTGAGCTTTCCAGCCCGGGGGAAGAGGCTGGTTAGGAGGCTGAGTGGGGATCCGCTCCCGCGGAAATCTTCCGAGTCCCACGCCGCCTCCTTAAAAAAACTTGGTTACAGACGAGCGTGGGGGGGTCACACGCACTTGGAGGGCAGACCCCAACTGACTTCAAGTGTAGCTGCGTACGGGGGGGGGGCTGTTTGAACATCTCCCCGCTCACCGGGTCTCGGTTCCTTTCCCTTTTCGCCCGTGGAGGGAGTTCGTGTAAATGCGGTGACCTCAGAGCCCGATCCTGACCCGGGCTGACTCCGAAAGTCAGTCCCTCTGAGAGACGGGATGCTTTGCTGGCGGCGAGGATGCGCGCTGGTGGGGAACGATAGGTTTCACGTGAGAGCTGGAGAAATAAACCCTCCCCGTTGTGCAGGATCCGGACCCTGTTAAGTACTCTTCCCCCCCCCGCCCCCACTTTCCCCATTCGTTTCACCGGATAAGCTTAGCAGGCGCTCACTTCTGTTCCGATGAAGGCCGAGGGAGGTAACAAATTTCCAATTCCTTCGAAAAGACTCCGCTTCAACCAGGTGCCCCCACCTGCCCCCCCCCAAGTCCGCCCCTCTGATTTCAGGGGCACTCGGAGCTTAGGCAGCCCTGGAGGCCTTCCCTCCCAAAGAGACCAACGCGACTCCTCCGGGAGAAGCCACCCGCCTCAGTCGCCCGCCCGGGTTAAATCGGATCCAGTCGGTTGGGCATTTAGGATTCGGTTCGAGTCTGGAGCTACTCGGGAAGGCTGGCCTTTGCTGTCCTGCCTCTCCGTCTTACCGCCGGGCTATAGGTTCACTTTCTTCCGTCCTCGCCTTATGCTCACCAACCCTCTTAACAGAAGTTCCTTAGAAGGAAATCCGTTTGACTTGGGCTTTGGAACCTGGTCCTGGGAGTCGATTTTGATCCTGATCGCGGAGGAGGTGAGGGCTGGAGTCGGGAATGCGAAGTCTGCTGGAGGGAGAATGCTAACAGGACCCAGGAGTCGGCTGTTCTCCTTCGGGTCCTCTGTGACGCCGCGCGGCTGTGGAGATACTGGCCACGATCCAGCAGTAGTCGAGCACTTTTAAAAAATCCACGGATTTCAGGTGGAGGGTTTTTAAGCCCACGGAGAGTAAATCCTTCCCTGCTGAATCTGTAGGACGCCAGCCTGCTTCACTCGGGCCGGATTGTGCTCCCCGTTATTGTTTCCTTTGATGTAAATTAACACAACACATCTGGGCCCTCTCCTCTCTCCCTCCTTGTCACTCCCACCACCTCTCCACTCCGAATGTCGATTTTATGTTTTATTTTTGGATGTATTTAAACTACCTAAATGGGTGCATTTGATACATTTCCTGTACCGGGTTTTCTACCTCAAATCTGTATGACCACTTGCTCAGAGAACAGGTTTGCCATGAGAAGTATTTATGTGGATTTTTAAAAATAATAATAAATAAAAGCTTTACGAACATGAAATGTACTTATTCCACACACAACCCCTTCCCTTCAGACAGCGAGCTGCCTTCTCTACTGGAGGTGAAGCAGTGAACAAGCCTGGGTTTCGTTGTTGTGTTTATCAGGGATGTCAGTGAACAAGGGAGGCTGACATTAACAAGAATAGGATCTGGTTCTGGAAACTTGAGTTGAAGAAGTAGGATTCAACCAGAGCTAAAGGCGCTAATCCACCCCAGTGATCTTGGGAACGGAGTCTTTAAACTCCTGCCCCATAGTGTTTGCTTCCTAGGTGATTGACACACATCTTCTCCACCGCTGTAAACCCTCTTGAGCGCGTGGAATATATCACAGGGTAGAAATTCAAACAAATAAACGTCAATTATATTTGCACATAGATGTAAATAACATGGGTTTCTTTAAACCATACATTATATTGAGAAATCTTCATATTTATTATGATCATGCTCGCTCCTAGTGTTGCATCCTTAAGGTACGCGATTTGATACTGCACAGAAAAATGTTTATAGTTGTTCGAGGGTTTGCAGATTCAGCCATGATTTTCATTTCATACTACTAGACAATTTGGCAGGAAAAAAACACACGCGCACACACACACCACACACACACACACACACACACACACACACACACCTGATTCACAACCTTGTTAAATGTTAATGTGTGAATTAAAGATGGCTTCTCCCTGAGTGTAAGCACCTTTATTTGGAAGTTAATACTGTTGAAATCCACAGAATTGATGTTTAAGTAAGTACTTGAATACTGAGATAAAATACATTTGCATTGCATTGATTTCAGTGGGAGCCTTGGGCACATGTTAGGCTATATAGCTCATTGAAATCAATCAGACCTAAAAATGATTTCAGTGGGAAAAATTTAAATGTATGTCAGGGGGAAAATCTTTTTTTTAAAAAATAAAGACAACAAAAATGTTGTGGCACCTTAAAAGACTAACTGCTATATTTTAATGTGAGCTTTTGTGGACAAGTCTCTTCTTCAGACTTAAAGGTCTGTTTAACATTTCCATTGGAATTAATGGGTTAAATGGAGTTACAGTTCACAGTAGAGACTAATAAAACAATAATACCCTTAATCTTCATTGCTTTTAGTAGCCCTGATTTAAGCATGACTGTCTTGATGTTATTCAAATTTAACACACACACGAACACACAAACACCCCCCCCTTTGTTTTAATATTGGAGCAACATTAATGTAACTCTGCTCTTATTCTTACTGCCAACCCACTGCAATGAAAATGATGGTAAGAGTCGAATAGGACATTTTATAAAGTAATGAAAATGTTTGTAGAAAGTTGGTGCCAATCTCAAGTTTAAGTGGTGTGAGTTCTCCTTTATTTCAGCAGGACAATGACATGTATCTACTACTGAAATAAAAGTTAAAACAATAATTGTGAAAAGCATATTTCTGAGCTACAATTCCAAGAATCCTCCAGTCAGTGCGGCCACTGCAGTTAACAAAAATGTTTCCAAGCTGCTTCATTACAGGTATAACAAAGACAAAGCAAAAAACAAAAGCAAACATATTGTGGGACCCCGAAGACCAAGGGATTTATTTCCATGTGACTTTTGCAGATTACAATGTACTTCCTCGGACATAATGGCTGAAATCCTGTTGCACAGCATAGGGAACAAAAGGTACATAAGACAAACCTGATTCTGAAGGAGAAACTGCAGTCTCAAGATGTAAGAAAATAAATCTCCCCTTATTTCAATTTAAAATTGCTCAACAGTGTTTCGGTCAGAATTTATGGTCTTCTTCAGGGTGTGGATCTTTGGTCTATTAGTAGTTAATCTGTTGGAGCTGTGTACAGACCATATAAAGGAAAAATATCTAATGCAGACCAAAAACCGTGCCCCTGAAGAAGGCCATAAATTCAGGGTGAAAAGCATTGGGTAATTTTAAATTAAAATAAAGGGAGATATATTTTCTTACTTCCTGAGAGGGTTGCTACATAGCATAGCAAGTTACAACTAGAGTATGTCCACTGAGTCAGTGGAACTTAATGGGAAATTGACTCATCACATCCTCGCTGATTCCATGGGCCTTTTCTAATTCTGACTTACTCAACTAAGCAACAGGATTTCAGCCTATGTGTCTGGGGCACATGGGCTCTTTTAAGTCAGATGGAGCTGTTAGGTCTTCAGAGTGCCACAACAGTTTTTTTTAAAAAATTATTAATACAGATCCCAAAACAGGATGGCTACCTCTATGAAAACTGCCTCATCCAAGATAATCCTGTTCAGTAAATCCTGATTCAATAAACAATCAGTAGCTTATGACTGGAAGAATTAGGCAGCCTGAAATTGGTGGCTGTTTCCATCCTCAGACCACAAGCTTCCCTAGTAGTAAACTCACTTCTGTACCAGCTTGTAGTGTTTATAATCAGCAAGCATATGCCTATTGCAATCCATGAAGCAGTTGCAGGGTGTGCACACAACACAACAACTTTACTGCATTTCTTTACAGGCAGGCACCTTCGGCCACATGCAAACATGTGTGCAGTTGTTCTGTAGAAGAAGGCATCAAAGACTTAATTTTCCCTCATTTAAAAAGAAAAGAGTGGAAACGCCATTAGAGATAATATGACAAGTAAATAAAATTGCTTCTGAAGAAATAGCAACACGTCTGCTTGATAGTGCTTGTCCCTCAAAGAGAGGAAAAGGATTAAACAAACACTTGTGCACACAGGGTGTGTGTGTGTGTGTGTGTGTGTGTGTGTGCGTGCGTGTGTGTGTGTGTGTGTGTGTGTGTGTGTGTGTGTGTGTGTGT